GAAGCCTGACACCCTAAATCCTGAATCCGAAGCCTTATAATGTGGGGGCCTGCATAATTCCACCAGGGTTTTGGGGGTTCATTCAAAGGGCCCTTTAAATGGTAAATCAGGGCTACCCACTTCAAGTGATAAGGGTTTAGGGTTCAAGGGCCCTAATAACTAGAATAGGGTTTTGGGGGTATATACTCTAGCTATAATAAGGAACCCCCCAAAAATAGTATAGGTAGCTATACTAACGCCCCTATAGTACAAAGCCCGAAGCTCGTTCCAAACCTCAAGGGCCCATCGACCCCAACTTGAGATCCCAAGCTCGGAACTGTGTGGTGGAATTCAGGTAGCCTTAACAATTTGAATAGTTTTGTTTTTTTGGTTTAGCGTTTAGGGTTTAGGGGGGTTCCTTTAAGGGGGTTCCTTCAAGGGTTCTATACGGGCTACTATAGGGGTTTAGGGTTTAGTGAATTCAGGTAGCGACCAGTCTACGATGCAGCACCAGCTGCTGTATGCCACTTTCCGGCAGACATGGGTTCAGAATTTTTGGCTGTATGAGGCATGCACGACTAGACCTCTTGCAATTCATCCGAGTCTCTGAGTGGACTTGTCCAGAACACACGAAACGCAAGGGGCTACGCTGAAGCTCTCGAAATTCCAAACAGCTAAACTGTGGAGGTTGAAACTTGGCCAAGCCATGCAGCCGTCAGCGAATCTCTGGATATGGGCTGTCTCCTTACATTTAAACAAGGGACCTCAACAAAGAAGCCGGCCCGCGTTCGGAACATCTCAGGATAGAAACCCAAAGGTAGCACCTCTGGTAAAGTTATGGAACAATTAATGGCTTGGGGTTTGTACATGTGCACGTAAGATTTCCAGACGGGAGCTTGCGACACTTACGAGTGAAGACACACAGGTCTTAATTAGTTCGGGCTTGGAAGAGACACCGACATCCGCAAATCGTTTACCCCTGCCTTGAGCCCGATACCCGTTTGGTAAACCCTAAACCCTAAACACACAGCATCCGAAGCCCCAGTGTGAGGCTGGAAGCAGCCGCAGAAAGTCAAGTCTTGCCATCGTGCCAGGAGAACGCACAAAGGATGCACCTCATAATCTCTGGTCTCGAGGCCTTTTGAGAATCTGTAAGCTGGGCATCAGAAGGCCTAGTGGTGATGCAGCCTGCGAAAGCAACGAGATCAAAGGCCGCCGGAATTCAACAATGACGGACGAAAACCAGAGGCCACCAGCATGTCCATGGATGAGCTCTGGGATGCTGCGGAGGGACCGGTTTGGGCCACTTGGCCTTCTTTCATCAGGGTTTTGGTTAGGGTCGACGCAAGGTTTTAATGTAGGGGCCTTGGTAGGTAGAGTAGGGTTTTGGGTCTGTGGGCTTTAGCACCAAGATGAACTAACTATGAGCAGCTCGAAACTATAATCGGGCTCCTATCGTATTCATGTAGCGAAGCCTATGTGGAAACGAACAGAGCTTGTCATGGGTTGTTGGCTGTTTGCCTTGTTGCATGCATACATGTGTGTCTGTGTACCTCTTCTGTTTATTTTCCTAAAGACTGGTTGCTCTCAGGCGATCCCTGATCAATCGCTTAGTTCTTTCGCTGCTCCCTGAGGTTCCTGAAGTGCGCGTCGCCGCTCAGGCGGGCTGACGGGCTGATGCACACCCCTTACTTGGAGGTTCATGGGTAGTTATAAGTGGGGCTATAAGTAGGGTATCTATAGCATAAACAAGTTTTGGAGATTTCTACCCCTACTTATAACTACCTGTGAACCTCCAAGTAAGTCATGCATATGGGCTCTGTAAGGCTTTTGTATGGCTGTGCTGCAGTGCTTTAGGGCAGTTCTGGGATCAGTTGCGTAAGCGCCTGTTAATCGGAGTGTATACCTGAAATCACGTGTAGTCTTGCGCTCTGCATAAGTTATTTGGCAGCCTCCCTGATAAACGGGAACCGGTCTCTCTCGGTAGGGGCAAGTGTTGGCCTGTCGGGTTGAGGATTCCTCGTTTAGGGGTGAGGGTCTAGGGTTTATGGCTTTGGGATTTACGGTTTTGATGGTTCAGGGTTTCGTCATCTCGAAGGTGGGACATGGAATCCTTTCAGGCTCAAGTTTTTAAAGGATGGGTGCGACCTTGTTGAACTCGGAGTTAACAGTTCTTATGGAGATCTCCGGCATTTGACACTTCGCACAAAGGCTCGGAAGAAGCAGCATGGCTCCTTTACGTGCAATGACCCCAAACCCCAAGGAGCCTTGAATCCTGAAACAAGCCCCCAGGAACCCATGCCTTTGAGGGTCACACATGGTGTACTGTATATGGCCGGAAAATTTGCCGATATTTGTTTTAAAGGGCTCCTTATGTTCATTAGAGTAATGTGCCCCGAAGCCATATTCGATCTACTCCTCAATTCTCAATAAAGTATAACGGATCTAAGAGCCATTTTCTAGCTATTAAGTTGAGGCCCTAGATTATTAATGTAAGGGCCTAAATAATTACGTATACGATCTTAGGGATTCCTTCTTGAAATTATAGTATGATACACCCCAAAACCCAATTAAAATTATGAAGTACCTATGTTATCATCCCAAAGTCTTCCGAGGAGCACCTACAGTCCTTCCACGCCGCCACTGCCGCGACGGTGGCGAGCCGGGAGTGGCAGCCGGGGGACTTCATCAAGCACCATCCAGGCCTTCTCCGCTTCAGGGTTTTGAGGGTTTAGGGTTTAGGGGTTTTGAGGGTTTTTAGGGTTTTGAGGGTTTTTAGGGTTTTTAGGGTTTTTAGGGTTTTTAGGGTTTTTAGGGTTTTTAGGGTTTAGGCTTTAGGGCTTTGAGGGTTTAGGGTTGGGGTTACTGTTGTCCGTTTCTGGGATAGTACGTGCATGGGTCTTTGAGCCTTGCATTGAGGGTGCTTTGATGATCTTTGACGGTGTTGAGTGGGGCTTAGGGCTTGGAGCATAAAGTTTGGGGTCCCCCCCAAGCCTTTTGTCAAGGGTCTGTGGCTACCCATAGGCCCCATAGTAGTTCCTTTATGGGATTCCCTAATAGGATCCTAAATATAAGCCAAGAAAGGAACTACTATGCGGCCTGTGGCTACAGTTGCAGCGATATTCCGCAGTCCCTAGATGCCAAATCTCGCCGAAAGCCCCGGGAGTTCGAACAAAACGAAACCTTGATGTCGAGGACTTCATTACCCTAAAGGCTAAACCCTAAACTCTAAACCCTAAACCCTAAACCGTTTTTGAACCACCCGATAGAACTGTGGCGTTGGATTCCCGAAGGCCCGGTTCTGTTTTATGGAGCTTTGAACGTAGCCATCTCGTGCATCCTTCTTCTGTCGATGCACAATGATTCGCAAGACCTCGAACCAAATTCTCTCAGCTAGACGCCGTGAGAGCCTGGAAAGAGTGGTTTTCACAGCCATTTGGGGTTTCGGGTGTGGGGGTATTGGGTTTAGGGCTTAAGGGTTTCCTTTTGCAGCCCTAGTTCAAGGGCCCTGAAGCTGTTGCAATCCCTTAGAACAGAACTTCCCCCAAGTAACGGAAGCCTGAGACGGTTCGCAACGGTCAAGGATGCCACTACTACAAGATGCCCTGCCAACAGCTGTACGTGGAGGCCCGCAGCGTTGGGTTGTAAGATCCTTTTCGGTGGGAGTATAGAAAGCTCCTCCGAACATATGTAAGTGATGCTGAGTGTACATCTTGGGTATCGCTTTGGGGATACGCGTCATATAAGCCCTACTTCAGTTCCTCGTGTGAATACAACCCACCCAATCTACTCCCTGAGGGCTGCTATAGCTGCTATAGACTGGAGCTTAGGGTGGCTTCGGACTGAGTGTCCGGAATTTAGGGCTTAAGGCTTAAGCATCGCGGTATGCAATGCTCCACAAGCGAAATCTGTGGAGCCTGACCCTATGCTTCATCTTACTGCACAGTGATGGTAACACACGCACACACGCAACACTTGTAGAGAAACACATTGCAGCTGCTAAGAAGCCAGAGCCGCTCAGAGCCCTCTGTGGATGAACCTAAAGCCTCTAAGCTGCAACTCCTCATCCCCAAACCCTTTCCTTGGTTTTCGTTAGGACTTGTACTTGTTTCGATCCTGCTTATGGGTAGTTCTCTAAATTGGGGCCCCTTCTGTAGGTCCCCCAAGATACTACGGCACCCTTCTAAAAAAGGACCCTCAAAGGGACCTTAATTTAGAGAACTGCCCTGATAATAGGCTGTTTAAGCCAACACTCCGGAGGCTCACTCCCACTTCGTCAGCATGGCTCAGGCTGCTCCGGAGGGCTGATGATGGTTCTGCTGTCTTCTTAAGAGCCTGGAGGGCCCAATCCCGTTTAAGGACTGTGCAGTACATATAGTAGCCATTGTAGTTTCTTAATGCGTGTTGCTTTTGTGCAAAGAGTCTCCGTCGGATGTCATGAGGTTTGTTGCACGACCACATTGACCCCAAATGCCTGAGTTCTGCAAGCTGCAGCAGCATGAAAGCTTACGTAAACCGACACGAACAAGACACGCTTTCCCAGCTTCACACCTGCAACAAGTAAGAGAGCAAGCAAAGCTCAAGCCGGCCGCAGATGCTACATATCGTCTGGTGCGCAAACCAACCTTCAACTCTACTTCCGTCTGGTTTTATGGACCCAGACAGGCCGGGCCACTCAGAGCCCAAGAAACCTGTAGAAACAGCTTACACGTCGACAAGTTCATAAGCAAGTTTGAGTCCTTCTATCAGCCTAATTACACCTACACAGCTACACTCATCGGTACCGCAGAGGCCATGGCGGCTGCACGCTGACCTCTCGACGCCCCCTTTCTGGGTTTCGACGAATTGGTGTTTAGTTGAGGGTTTAGGTTGTACTGTGTATGCGTGTGTGAGTTTGGGATTGTGTGAAGGATTGCGACTGCAATGCCCTGGTTTCAGAGCTGCTTGATCGTAATGAGTCAATAGTACGGTTCTGCATAACCATGGTTTCAACACCTGATGCTTCGGATGCGCCTGCTTTCAAGAAGGCTCCCTGGCATTTTACATGCCGTCATCTTATCAGAGTTGGGTGTTGCGCTCTTGTTGTGTAGCCCATGCACCACTCTTATTTCGACGTGCGAGTCAGATACGATGACCATATACTTCGGGCGCTATCGCAACGGCTAGAACGGAGATGGATTTGAGGGTGTGGCTTCAAAGTCGTGAGTATACCCATAGGCCCCATAGTAGTTCCTTGTTGGGATTCCCTATTGGGATCCTAAATATAAGCCACCAAAAAAGGAACTACTATGGGGCCTATGGGTAAGTACCCTGAACCCAAACTCCAAGTGCTCAACTCTGAATCTTGCAAAGGTGCAAATGTCCCTGATCAGCTTAAGGAATACACACCTATTCATCATGTCTTTTCATGTAGGTAGCTCCAATTTATAAGGAATACACACCTGTTCATCATGTCTTTTCATGTAGGTAGCTCCAATTATATGAGTTAAGGAAACTTCATGCGTTTCTTAGTTAGGGAGTTTTTTCTTACAGTATGGGGACCTTACGGTTTCAGGCGAAGGTGTGAGGTGTATTGGGCTCACCTAGTGCTCCACCCTCCCCAGGTGAAAGTCCCTGCTGCCGCCAGAGGGGAGCGCGAGTGCACGCGTACGGTTATGCGGACGAAAAGGGCAGGGTTTCAGGGCAAAGCTTCAATCGTGTGGTTTGACCTCGTCCGTGTGCTCTCGCATCACACTGCCTTCAGAAGTAGAGAGGTGCGCTTTCGTGTTGTGGCTTTCTTGTCTTCCTCGCAGTAGGGAATAAGGTTGTGCAGCATGTCATAACAAGCACATAACCGTTAACTTGTCAGTGTCCCTAAACTCTCCATCTACCCTTCGCTGGACCTTAAATACCCATTATTTGGGACCCTGAACTGTTCTTATCAAGTTGAAGCTCCTCCTACCCCCACTCCCTCGAGTAACATGCGAATGGGAAGTTTCCGTCTTGAACGCTGCATGGGCTCCTTTATTTGGAAGTTTAGCATCCAAAAGGTAAGTCAGTCCCAGAAACCGGCACATGTCCGCCAGAAACATTCAGAGACTATACGGACTACACAGCCCTAAACTGAAAAAACCTAAACCCTATATGCCTATATATATATATATGTATATATATATATATATACGTATACATATATATATATATATGAGGCCCACAATAAGCCCTATACACTTCGGCGCTTCGTGCTCCTTGCATACGTACCTGCATTGAAGTCCTGTTTTGCATTTGGGGCTTGAGGGTTGGCACTTGTAGGTGCTGTTTGGGTCAAGGTTCAAATTTGTATGTTTGCACGGGTTTGGAGGATTCGTGAAACTAGGAATCGGGGCTGAAAGCACGCGGTATTTCGGCATCTTTACCTGGGAAAGAGTCTTGGGGTACACGGTGCAGGGGTGCATGCTTAGCTCCTCGTTCCAAGAGATGAACTAGCCCTTCACGCCCTCCTTGCAGGGCGCTGTCCCGATGGCACTTAGCTTGAGAAGGCCATGGGTCGATTGGGGTTCTCAGCTGGGTTTCCTGCTTGGCTACTTCGGGTAGTGTCGACAAGAGAAAGCTCCACAAAGTCTGTCATCGTTGTGCAACCCCTACAGCCGCAAGTCTTCCCCAGGGCGAACCCCAAAAGACCCTGCAACGAAGCACCGTAAATTGGAAAGCTTAGGGTTTTGGGACAAGAACGGGCGTCGACTTCTAAGAACTTGGGGGTCTACGCATGCACTACTTAACTTGAGTCTTATAGGATCCTGCGGGAGCTTATCTGCACTTTTAGGGTCTTTGCTTCTGGTGATATCGACGGACACAAAGCGCTTACGAAAGCATCTGAAGGTCGTACCGTGGCTCAATGCCACCCTTGACACCGGTTTCCCAAAAATGCTTTGGGGCGAGGTCCTCTAATGTAGAGGCCTAAATAAGTACCTATACATTATTTTAGGGGACCCTATTCTTGTTACAGATATAGTATAACGAGCCCTAAATAAACCCCAAACCCATGCCATGAGATCACAAGCGTAAGTGTTTTGCATGTAGAAACACACTCGACGGTCAGGGTTTCAGGGTTTCGGGTCGTTTCCGGGGTCTTGATCTTCCAGAGCTGTTGGTGTTTCGATGTTACTGCTTAACGTAGGGGCCTTAAGAATTTGAACAGGGTTGGGGGTATATTAAACTCTCATTATTTATAGTAGGGAGGCCACAAAATAGTACAGGTAACTATGAAGGCCCCTACAGTAGGTGCCGCGCTTGTTTTTTTACAGATGTGTGTGTGTGTGTGTGTGTTGTGGCACGTTGATCCTGAAGTGAGCTTGGGGGCCTTCGCAGGCATGGCACATCCAGTGTCAGACTACTCTGCCTGGAGCCGAGACACGCGGATTGGGCTGTCGTCGCGGGTGGGTGCTTCAGGATTCACAGCAGTTTTGGCGTTCAGGGGTTTATTTACGGTTTGGGCCATCGTTGATAGGGCATGTCGAGCTTTCAAACAACCCTAAACCCAAACTCCAAACTTATAGAGTTTAGGATAGCAGCTGTAAGGTTTTAGCATAGATAGTTTGCGAACCGTCCGAGCACGAGACATCCCAAGTGCCAATGGTGTTAATGTAGGGGCCAAAATAATAAGAATAAGTTTTTTGGCGGTGTTCTTTACAATAGTTATAGTACAATTTACATCCAAAACCCTGTTCTAATTAGTAAGGTCCCTACATTAGTAGGACGAGCCTGCGACCAAACAGCAGCTGCTGTTAGTCGTGCCTGCTGCGCCCGGGACCGAAACCTGCACGCGACCCCTGTTGCTTTAATTTGCGACGCAAAGCAAAGATCCAGGCCCCGATGCCAAAGCGTCATACTAAGGTAGTGAACCTCGTCATGGGTACGTATTCGAGTTCAAGAAACTGCTTGCATCAGATGTTGGGAACTGTTCCCTGAAGCTTCAACCCTAGAGACGACCCCCCCTGCCTCCAGACTCTCAAAATTCTAAAAAAGCTTTCCTAAGCCTCCCAATCCTTCTAAATGGCGTAATATAGGGTCTAAATAATTACCTATACTA